CTCAGAGTCTCTAGTTTACACTGAGGATTCCCCAGTCCGGCAGCAAGTTGTTTTACTCCTGAATCCTGAAGATTGTTGGAAGTCAAATCCAGTTCTCTCAGACATGAGAGACTTGAACTAAGAACAGAGGCCAGGCCTGAACAGCCTTTATCTGTCACATTACAACACCTCAAACTAAAAGGAAAAACAAAAGCAGGTTAGGTAAGTACTGTGTTCTTGGAATATGCTGACTAAGCATTCACATCAATGTTTGCATACTTGGGTAGAGTATGTTCCTGGCATAACCAGTGAGATACCTACATGACTGATCGGGATGTTTTGATGACTGGCAGCAATCTCAACAGTCCCTCATTTGAGGTCATGCTCGGATGAATGAGTTTTGACAAGTCAAACACATCCAGTTCTTCAGCAGATGTCAGCAGTATGTAAGCCAAAGCAGAAAAGCGTGAAGGAGACAGTGTTCCACCACTAAAACCATGTGAATTTATGAAGTCCTGCACTTCCTCAACCAAAGAATCATCTTTCAGCTCACTTAGGCAATGGAAAAGACTTATTGCCTTCTCCGCTGAAGGGTGGTCCCTGATTTTTTCCTTGACATATTCAGTCGTTTTCATGCTGCTTTGAGTATCGCTTAACACCTCAGTCAGGAGTCCCTGAAGAAGAGCCTGGTTGGACTCAAGGGACAGTCCCAACAAGAAGCGAAGGAAAAGGTCCAAATGTCCATTGTCGCTTGTTAAAGCATTATCCACAGCACACTTCAGAAATGCATGCATTGGGGGTTTTTTGAAAGTACTTATGATTTTAGCATTTGTCGTCTGACTGAGGACATTTCTTTTATAGTTGACAAACATAAGAAATGCATACAAAGCAGCCAGAAACTCCTGTATACTTGCATGTATGAAACTGAAGACCCTCTCCTGAAGCAGACCTGACTCTTCTCTGAAGATTTGGGTACAAACTCCTGAATAAACCAATGCAACATCGAGTTCAATGCCACATTCCCTCAAATCTTCTTCATAGAACAATAAATTACCCATTTCAAGCTGTTGGAATGCCAGCTTTCCAAGCAACAATGTGGTCTGGTTATCCCACTTCAAACCGGCTTTGGAATTATCATCGTATTTGTGACTCCCATGCTTGATCTGGAACATCAGGAAGTGTGTGTACATTTGCGTGAGGGTCTTGGGAATTTCACCACTCTCCGAATCACGAAACATTCTTTCGAGAACTGTAGCTGATATCCAACAGAACACTGGGATGTGGCACATGATGTGAAGGACCTTTGAAGACTTCAATTGTGAGATTATCCTGGAGGACAAGTCTGGATCACTTATTTTTTTCTTGAAGTACTCTTCCTTGTGGGAGTCATTGAAACCTCGTACCTCGGTCACACGGTCAATGAGGTCAGGCGGTATTTGACCTGCTGCAGCTGGCCGTGAGGTTATCCAGACTAAAGCAGAAGGAAGCAAGTTCTTGCAGATGAGGTTTGTCAGTAGGACACCGACTGAGACGGGTTCTGTCGCACTGGAGCAGCTCCTTTGGTTTTGGAAATCCAGAGGAAACCGACATTCATCAAGTCCATCCAAGATAAAGACTACCTTATATTTATTTGAGTGTAACACTTCTGGATTTGTTTTTAGATTGAAGAAGCACTCAAGAATGTGTATCAGACTAATTTTCTTTTCTTTAATTCCATTCATTTCACGAAAAGGGAGTGGAAATATCATGCAGACGTCCTGGTTGGCTCTTTCCTCAACCCAGTCCAGTGTGAACTTTTGCACAGACACTGTTTTCCCGATTCCAGCGATTCCTTTGGTTAGCACAGTTTGGATTTGTTTAGCAGATTCGGGAGAAGCTTTAAAGATATCATTAGCCTTGATTGGTGCGTCCCATGTGGCTGGATGTTTAGATGCTGTCTCGATCTGCCTGATTTCATGTTCACTGGTGTGCTCACTGCTTCCACCATCAGTGATATAGAGCTCTGTATAAATGTTGTTAAGCAGAGAGGGGTGCTCTTCATTCCCCTCAAATATACACTGACACCTGTTCCTCAGCATCCTCTTATACTGATATGTCCCCATCAGATCTTCTGTGAAGTTTGATATAGTTAGAATAAAAAATGAATGGATCTTGCTAAATATAAAAATTAATATGACACTATTGAAATTAATACCATTTAGAACATTTGACCTTGATTCCTTCTGCTGAATTCTGAAAGACAAAATACATATGTAAATGCAAACTATGCATTTAATGTTTAATTTAAAGTTGCGATATTAGGTTTTGTTGATAATGTTATGCCCGGTTCAGACTACACGATTTTAGCCCGATTTTGCCATGATTTGTTTGACGTAGGGTGTAGTGCGGATTCGTAAACGACAATGGGCGTCGGGACGCAAGATTCCATCATTTCAGCTCGTGTAGTGTGTCATAGTGGACGACAACCGATTCCGCGTCTGCGATGTTTCACGACATCACGACGGAAAGACTAGCATGTTTAATTTTTTTTCCGTCATCCACGACGAGTTCTGTCACATTGGTGACATTGACCAATAGTAGCACAGAAGCTCTTTCATACACAGGTTTCAAACATGGCAAAACGAAAGAGAGATGATGGTGCTGCTAGGTGGAATTATGAGATGGAGGAAAGGTTCGTGGAGCTGTGGCAACAGTACTCCTGCCTGTATGATGTGTCATCGAGGGACTACCACGACAGAACAAAGAAAGAAAAATGCTGGCGAACGATAGCGGAAGCACTTTAGCAATGTTTACATTTGTTTTCGGAAGTCAGTCGCTAGTTCCGCCTCGATGACATCACGCGCGTCGTTAAAGACGGCACGCGATGAATGGTCGGGAAGCAACGTGTAGTCTGACATGTTTCTTGTCCACGACACGACAAGATTTTAGGAGTCAAAATCGTGTAATCTGACACAGTGA